TCGTTAAACTTGATAGTGTTCTCCAAACCAAAAAATTGTGGATGTCGTTTGTCTATTAAATAGGCTTAAACGAACGTGAGAATATCTATATTATCACTATTAATCAACATTATTTCAGGATAGGATTGTGGTCAACTCTAGATTAGAAACAGCTTTGAGATTATACGTCTGGAATTGACCAGCGTAAGAGGCAAGTCATGCTTTGCAAGAAAAGCCTGTTTCTTACTTAAATTTATGCATTATAGGTTGATAAGAACAAGAACGATAAATATTATGCTTTGCCAATAGCCTAAGTATCTTTGCATCCAGGGTTTTAGCGAAACTATGCTATTATAGATAATATCATATTTTGCCATATCCTCTAAAGCCATGTTTAAAATCAAGATAGACTGAGTTTAAATGTGATGTCTACTTCTCGCCTTCACTAACTCACACTCAAATGGAGCTCGAGCTGCGAATATTTTGTGCACTTTCATACGAAATGAAAGTCCTCATACCAATGTTATCTCAGGAGATTCATCGAAACCCAGTTTCTCTGCATATCTACAATGTGAATATTTTGTCATGCATCAATTCATATGTTTGTGGCCCCAACTTATTCATTTGGCTTGCGCTTCTGCACGTCGCTATGCCGACTCACGGGTCACGTTTAAGCGTCCAGCTGTGATGCCTCTACTCCTGCACATAAGCGCGTATAACACATACACGCACACACACAAAAATACACACCGAGTAAATCTCTCGTATACTGGCCACGATGAAATAATTAGGCACCAGGATCCCATTAAGTTTCAGTTATAATTGAATTTCATAAAATGTTTTCATATCCATATATCATTATTTTATCATTTAGCTCAGTAACTCGTATGAGGGGCAAGAATAAAGGAATTTTATCTAACCACAAGTCTTTGAGGGGCTAAAGCTCTTGTTTACAAAAGATAATCGCATCTATCATAATCCATATATCGCATAGCTGCTGTTGGCTGCTTAGGTAACGCTTTGAAATTCTCCTTGATGTACAGTCCATGTACAATAACGTCCCAAGAGAAAATGCACTTACTTCACTACTGGAGATCGTGGAAAATGAAAATGAAATCCTGGAGGCAGAGTGAATCCGCGAAAAGTCTTTAACCTGATTAATCAACCTAACAATAAGAACTACATATTTAACGTTCAACGGCCGCATCTGTGAGCAAATATTTGGTCTGCCCATGGGCTCAACTCTCGTCTCTGCTAGCTAATGTCTACATGGACAAGTAAGGGGAGAATTTAAAAGGGTCACTTCAGCAGCCCATAGTGATTGTGCAATATTTGGATGACTGCTTCGCACTCTGGTCGTATGGATAAGAGAAATTAAACGAGTTCATAATCTTCTTAAAAGAAGTGGATGAAAAAGTTAAATTTACAATGGATATGGTAGAGAACGGAAACTTATCTTTCGTTGATCTGGAGGCCATTTGTTATGAGAAGACTCTCAAAAAACCAGCGACCATGCATAAAAATGGATATGGAAAGATCGGAGATTGCTGAACTCATCGCTCGTATCGGCTATACTATTGACTGGAGTGAAATGGAAAGACTGACCTCATTTGAGGAGAACACCAGAAAACGGGAAATCAGGGAGACCATGGATATCCTGTTTCTGAGAAACAGGAATTAAGCCGGATATATGGCCCTAAAGAATGAGATACAATGTGGGTGGGGATAACTGAGCCGTGGGTCTGAAGCCTATTGAAAGTAGGATGCTTTGGCATTGACATGGACATCACTACTCAAACTCCTTGAAGTTGACGTAAATTGGGATGGGAATTGAAGGCTATTTGGCATCCAGATTTCAGACAGTCAGACAAGGGTTTTGACGTGTAGCAGAGACCACTTGACAAGCGGGGTAAGAAAAGGGTCTAGCCGAAAGTCAGAAGCCCTGGGAGCGGAATTCGAAACCGATGGTGAGGATGATTATGCCTTAGCAAATCAACTTGTAGCGACACACACTTAGGAGTAATTGTAGGAAACGATGGAACAGAATTGTATGACCAGGTAATTGGGCCATATGAAGTGGGGTTGAGAGAAGAGGGTGCAGCACTAAAAGGTAAAACCAAACATAGGAGCAAGGAGTGATGTTACAACGGTTGAGTGGAAAAGTTTTCAAAGGGATTGCTTTTATTTGCCATTTTGATAAGTTGTAACTCTGTACTGACGATGCACTTATAACCGTAAATTTGAACATAGAAATCCTTCGCACACCATCCTGATAACTGCCTACTGGCCTTTATTCTCTAGAGGAGATATATCATATGGGCATGAAACCATTATTTAACAAAATTCTCTAAACTTCTTTGCTACTTTTGTTAGTCTTCGGTAATATTTGGGCATATTTAAATGATCATTACACGTTCGAATCAAATGCAATCCAAGCGGCTGATAAAGTAAATAAGATTCGGGGAGAAGTGTGAGCTACTTCAAGGAGTGTTTCATAAATCCATGCGAATAATTTTATTAGTGAATTCTTTGCAGAAATGAAGAAGTATTATGTCCTGGAC